TAATACCTTATTGTATTTTTATATAATTGATTTTTTTATTCAGAGGGTTTACTCATGGTATTATATGTATATATTTATTTAATGATATGTCATACTCGTTTAATGCCCTGTAAGATTATAAGCTTATAATTTTACATGACATTGTGATAAAAATTGTTAAAATTTTTTAATAAATTTTGAATAAATATCCAATAAACTTTTTAAAATCTCTCTAAATTGTCAAATAAATACCTAATGAACCTCTTAAAGGAAATCCATTGAGGAAGGTAAAGCTCAATTAAATTAAATGCATACATTTTTAAATTTCTTGGTGAGCATGAAACATATAATTCTTATTAAATTAATTCTTCATATAATAATATTTAATAACACTTTAATTATATTAAACATCTAACTAATTATTGCTAAATTCTATTTCAATTACCAAATAACAATCTATGTTTTATATCTACATATTAATATCGAAAACAACTTACCTAAATGTATATATAATTTGATTTTTATTTCAATTATGTAATTTGTTTAGTATAGATACATATTATATTATATTCAAAGTGACACTTCACAAATTGATTCTCATTTACTTTATTTTTCTAAGACTAAGGGAGTAATGATTGAGATGTAAATAATTTAGAATAAATATATTTCTAAATAATTACTATGAGTAGCTACAAATTATAGTACATATATTGATGTGTATCAACTTGATAATAATGACTATATTAGCTTAAAAAACCCATTTAACAAGTAGAAAATTTGTTGTGCAATCGAGACAATATTGAATTATAAAACATAAATTATTAGATGAGAAATGACCCTTAAACATGATTTTCTTTAAAAAGTACAAAATAGGTTCTAAATGAACCTAGCTCCTTAGTGTAAGCAGGAAGTAAGAGCACTTACAAAGAGAACTTAAAAGTAAAGAAATAGCCTGTATAACAAACTTTAAAATGTTTAGATATTCTATTTATCAAAAGACTAAATTAAATTATCAAAAGACTAAATTAAATCATCAAAAAATTATAAAAATAATAAAGTAAGAAGTAAGAATCCTTAAAGGCTCTTAATATATTCAACAAGATAAAAGTTAAAAGAATTATACACACAACAAGGGAGAGAGAGAGAGCGGTAAATTTTATATATAATAATAAATCAAAAAAGTGTATTAGAGGGTGGACTATAAATATATTTAAATACTCTTAATAAAATTAGTTTTTATATTATTTCATTAAGGATATTTAAATAAATTTATAGGGGCAAACTACACTTTTAATATATAATTTACCTTATAAAACATGAATTTCATAGTAAATAGAGATGCATGAGTAACTAAGGAAGAATAATATTGAGGGAATAAGAACAAGCAAAATGAATGAAAAATTAATAACAAATAAATTATTAATATATTGGAAGAAAATAAGTGTAGATAAATATAATTATAAAATGTGAGAGAATAAGTTAGAAGAATAAGACCCAAGAAAAATTAATGAAGGATGGAGTGTATGTAAGTAAAAAAGTATCAAGAGTAAAAACCTAGTGTAAAAAAGAGATACATTTAGGTAGATAGAGATTTAAAGGAATGAATAAGAAAAAATAATGGAGATGAAAGGATAAAAGGAAAGAGAATAATAACAAATAAATTACTAATATGAAGTGGGAAATGGAGGGAAATAATATAGGTTTTTTACATTATATTGGTTAAGATTCATAACGTGGATATGTGTATAAATTTATTACATATATTACTAAATTATTTGTGATTTTAAAATATTTATGTTATTGTAATATCAAGGAAACAGAAAATATTTAATGATAGAAAGAAAA